GCCATATCTAATCTCCTTCTGATGCTGTCTTTTCAAAATGCATTTTTTTTTTTTTTTTGTCTTTTAGTGTGCTGTGTAATTACTTGTTGCGAATAGGATATAATGTACTATGTGGAAAAAAAAATAATGTACTAATAGGCCTCAATGTGAGATTTTAAATATTCATAGGTAGATAGGCTTTAGTGTGAAATTTTAGGTTTATCTGGCCGGGGTGTTTGCTATTGCTGTAGGTGTCCGGGGCTAAACTTCCCTCTGGTGTCCTTTTTTTTTGGTCTCCTTTGTTATTTTGGGTTTCCCTAGAGACGTTAAAAATACTACCCGTGATGCACAGTGTTCTCAGGTGTACTCCGATGCTGTAGAGCGGCCCTCATGGTGTGGTGAGGTGGGGAGTGGGGAGCCCTGTTCTCCAGCCCCGTGGTCAGGTCCCAGGCTCTTAGAGAACTTGTGCCCCTGGGGCTGTGACCTTCACAGGTGCTTCTCAGAGTGTTTTTTCCCCTCTTAGGAGAGACAGGGAAGCCTAGAGGATACTTGAGTTGGGTATTTCCCTTCTTCCACGTTGGTTAGGCTCTGGTAGAATAGTTCCAGGCAGGACAGACCTTGTTAAAAAGAACAGAATATTCTCGAAATATTTAAAAACAGCTACTTTCTCTCTCTGTCTGCTCCAAGACTGAGGGGATTTTTCTCCTGTCACCACTGTGAAAATGTGATAGGCTGCTGGATCCCCGGGTGTTTTTAACTCTCACACTTGTCCACCTTGGGCCTCCAGTAATTCGTTAGCTACAGATTAGGTTTTCCTAGGCAACTTTTAGACGTCTGCTCCAGAGAACGCAGCGGTGACTCTGCCTGCGTCCTCACTTTTCGGAGGCAGTGGCTTGCTCTGTGACTTCAGTTCTCTGGCGCATCTAAGAAGAGTGATTGATTTTCTGTGTGCCCAGCTGTTTCCTTGTAAGAACGGGAGAGAGGACTTCCCAGCTCCTGAAACTTGAACGCAAGTTCAAGTGCTTCTCTCTGGTTGATAGGATATCAGTGATTTCTTCCTTCGTACGTCCCTCACTTCCCACATTTTCTCCAATGTGCATATATTCCTTTTAAAAGGGACAGGAAAGCAAATGTTCTTTTAATATAGAAAAAAATAAAAAATGAGTTTAATCTCTGTCGGCCTGGAAGAAAACAAGGCAAGGTGCAGAGAGTATGGTACTTAAAAAAGTAAGAATAAAAAAGAGGAACATTTACTCCTCCCCCACAGCTTACCATCCACATTAAAATGACTTTACAATTCCATTGTGTCATTAGTACAGTTTTAGTATGCAAGGAGACTCTTGCCCAAGCAAATTAATTACATGAACTTCCTGAAGGACACATGAGCTCTTCCCTAAAGCACCAAAACTGATATTTCTGCCCTAAGACCCTTTGACTCTCCACCCCAAATCCTTGCTTTACTACTTCCCTCAATCCTAAATTACTCTGTTATGATCTTTTTTTTTTTTTAAAAGATTTTATTTTTTATTTATTCATGAGAGACAGAGAGAGAGAGAGGCAGAGAGAGAAGCAGGCTCCCAAGGAGCAGGGAGCCCAATGCGGGACTCGATCCCAGGACTCCAGGATCATGACCCGAGCCGAAGGCAGACACTCAACCATCTGAGCCACCCGGGCGCCCCTCTGTCATGATCTTTCTGCAATTCTAAACAAATTCCCACATTGAAAGGCATACCTTAAATCAAATTTCAAATTAAGTCCAACCTTGACCTTCCCTCTCACACGACCAAAGCTCCATCAAGGAGCTCCCTTACTGCAGGAAGCAATACAATCAGCTCATCCTATTAGCAGGTGATGTTGGTGATAGCTGGGGAGCTGGCCTTTGACGGCATATATGATTCTATGTGTTAATGTGAACAAGAAGAAAGGGACAAAAGTAACCACATCAGGCTACTAAAGCTGATTGCCTGGTGGGGGTAAATTCTAAATTTTTTTTTTTTGTATTATTTCACTAATTGTGGTGGACCCATGTCCATTTTATAATTAAAGCTTTTGCAAGAGAATTTAGAAAATACATATATGTGCTGGAGGGACTATGCATCCATTCTCTTTGAAGTTCAGAATCCCACAGTAAGCCTTGCTTCATAACAGTACTTGGGTTCACAAAGGCCTCTTTCCTGTACACAAGAAACCCCAGTGTTTATAAACAGGAAACTGGTTTCCCCATATGCTTGACTTAGCTGTTTTGCCTTAGGCAATTTAGAAAATCCCTTCAGAAAATCCTTACTGAAAGTGATGCAGAATAGGGATGCCCTCTTACCTAAAGGGCTCAGTCATTCAGAACGTGTCCCTTCCACTTTCCATTAAGTAAGTCCACTGTCCCAAACCACACCAATGATGGATATTGCTCCCCTGGACATCCCTCTAGCAATTCCAGACCTATCTGTCATTGTCTCTCACGCTACGCTCCCATCATCTTTGATCATCTCTTCCTAAGCACAGCAGAGATTGAAACCCTGCGATTCATACGCTACGACAGTATATGAGGAAGGACAGCAATTGTGCCTTATTGGGCTTGATGTAGCTCTTATTTAGTAAATTTTAGGAAGAGGGATAGAATGGGCTATTCTTCCAGGAGATCTGTGGACGGAAGATTGTTCATGTAAAATTCTCGTGGGAACCACCTTTATTCATAAGGGGAGACTAGGTCTCTGTCCTTTGGCTAAGCAGATCAGAAACATTCCCCCAAGTATTACACCTTTTCAGTCTGAAGGAGGTTCGAGTCAGGCACAAATGAAGGTTGCTTCCTGGTAATGTAGAGGAGCGAGAGGGAGAAAACGTTCAGCCTTTCCACTTACTCCACGTGGCCTCCGGTCGCTCCCCAGGAGTGAAATAATGATTAACAATATGGCGGAGCTAGCATTGCTTTTCCAACTGGAGCACACATCAGAGTCACCTGGAGGGCAGTTGCACTGTCCACACCCACTGGGTCTCCCGCTGCAGCTGGGGTCTAACGGACAAGGTTCTGGTCCTTGGGGAGGGGCTTGTCGCTGAGCAGGAAGAGCCAGGGTAGCAGAGGAGTGGAGCCCAGGAGCTTGGGTCTCAGAGGGAAGTCCTGAGCCAGGACTGATTTGTAAGCATGGTTGTGTCTGCAAGTGCAGAGCGAATGCACGCCTGGGGTTTATCAACGAGACCAGTGCCGCGCCTCCCTCGCTGCATGGAACATGGGCCCAGGAGCCGCTTCCAGATTCAGCTTTGGTGCACTGGCCGCAGCTATTCGGTCTCTTGTTTGCAGGATCCTTACTTGCAAAAAGGGAACAAGAACTGTGCCTTCTTCACAGCATTCCTATAATTTTTTTTTAAGATTTTTTATTTATTTGAGAGAGAGAGAATGAGAGACAGCATGAGAGGGAAGAGGGTCCGAGGGAGAAGCAGACTCCCCGCTGAGCAGGGAGCCTGATGTGGGACTCGATCCCGGGACTCCAGGATCATGACCTGAGCCGAAGGCAGTTGCCCAACCAACTGAGCCACCCAGGCGCCCCACAGCATTCCTATAATTAAATAAACCCATTAAGGGACCCAGTAGATGGCCCTATACGCTTAGCTTCCTGCCCGCATTCCTAGTAAACCAGGGACCTCGGAAAGAACTATGCCTACCTCGTGGGCTCAGCTACGCGAGCTGAACAAAATGGCTGTCCCAATGAGGCTGCAAACAGGCGGCACCCCAGTGTAGGATGGCCTGCCTCGTGTGCATGTGCATTCCCTCTTCCTGCCTCCTCACCACTGTGGTGTGGACCACCTTTCCTGCCTCCTGTCCCGTCTGCTAGAGCGAGGGAGAATGACACACCACAGGCCGTGGGATCAGAATTGGGCAACATTGTTCCACAGTAGAAATCCTGAACCATAAAGGCCGTGGTTTGGATGGCTTTAGCACAGCAGTGCCTCCAAGGCCGAGAAGAGAGTCTGGTTTGTACATGGAGTAGAGGAAACGGAGAGTAGCCGTGAAATAGGATTCTCCTCTTTGAACTGAAACCAAACCATTCAGTAACAAACTCTAATCCAGTTCCCTCTTACAGGGGAAGCTCCAAGCCTCTTGCGGTCAGCAAACTCTACAAAGGGTGAGAGGAAACTCAGCACCATCTGTGATGCTCAGACTAACTAGAAATGCAGACGGGACAGTGGACACTTGGAGGGACAAGGGAGTGTCTGAGGAGGATGCATTTGGCGTGGGTCTGATTTCCTACAAGATTCAAAGTAGGATGCCTTGGTGATACTTCGTGTTAGGAATGCCGGAATTGTGGCATTCTCCCTGGGGGATGCTAGGGAAGGAAGTTTCCATCAACCCATGAGAGAGGAGCGAGAACTTTTCCATTTTGGGCCCTGGAGTCATGAGTTCCAGAAGGAAGAAGGTGCTAGCCGCCTTTGAAAACTTTTGGGACAGTTGGGGAAACGGGACTGTGATGACACAGGAGATACTAGGAAATGTTTAATTCCCTTTGGTATGAAAGTAGGAGTGGGGGAGCCAGAGGGATGGCTTGACTTGTAGGGAGGTTCGTGCTGAAGTATTCAGGGGTGAAGTGTCATGACGGTTTAATGAAAAGGGGAGGACAAAGTATTAACCATGGTTGCGTCTTGGTAGGAGAACGTAGGCATGCGTGGAACCCGTCTTTCCCTTGAGCCCTTGTGAAATCTTTCAAAATCAAAAGATATTAATACAGATTTGTTACATACCGTATTATAGCACGCTATAAATCTGTATTACCATATAGATGAGCTGGCTAGTAAACAGAATTTTAAGCACTAGAAAAGGTTGAGCAGGGGCTTAGCGCGGTTGGTGCTTAGTGCTTGAGATGATGGATTCCTCTCCTTTGCAACAAGCCTGGTTCATTCCAGGAGACTGGCTCTCTCCGTCTTTTTCCTACCAAGCATGCTGTAGCCAGAGACTATCCAGCCCTCTGCAGGAGACCTTCACTCAGGCACCAGGGTTTCAATCCCCTAGAACTCAAAAAACAAGAGGCAGTGTTTGTTGAGCTAAATTATCTCTTTATTAGGAAAGCACCAACACCACATTCTTGGAAATTACTGGAATTTTATTTGCCTCAGGCTTATGACTTGCAACCAAAGACATTGTGCAAAGAAAGCAAAGATTAAGTACACTTTAGGGAGGAGACGATACACATCGGTAACATAGGAGATCAGGTGGACAAAAGAAGCCATCCAATACACTATATAGATTGCAATATTCAATAGCATTTTCAACAAAACTTTTTTTTAAATCAAGAGCAAAAAAAAATTAAGCAATGTTTACAGTAGACATAAATCTTATACAGTTCAAAAAGCATTTTTTCAGATCATAGAGCATAAAATGGAAAAATGTCTATGCAGGTGAAATCTAACTACTGTACATTTATCACCTATTAAAGTTGCTTATATGTACCACAGTGTAAAAAAAAAAAAACCGAACAAATTAAAACCTTGAAAATTGCCTGATGAAAAATAAAATAACCAGTGGCTTTTAATGGCTTCTCCTGGTTATCAGTGCTACAAAAAGACAAAAAAAATCTTCTCATCTGAACAGGTGGTAAAACCAGGCACAATCAAACCGTTACCAAATTAGACCCACCCATAGAAATATACTATCCACCCACATATTTTCCATCAAAAGCTTTGTCATTTGTTTTAATCTTTGAATCTTTGAGGCCCATTTGGTCACAATATGTTACAAATATGTTTTTGTGTGTGTGTATGTGTGTGTTGTGTGTTTTTACACCATGATATCATATGTTTGTCTGGCACTATCCTAAAGCTAGTTTATAGATGATGATGATACAGAAACCACCCAGGGCCCACAGGACAAATGGACTCACTGGGTAGAAAGAGAGGGGAGGAAGGAGTTCAGTTCTACCGAGGGAGGAGGAGGGTCCATACTGATCACTCATCGTCAGTCCCACTTGCTTCTGACTGTTCCTAAAAATAAAAACACGATAAAAATGCATGAAATTACATGTAAGAAAAAGGTGTAATAAACCCCGCAAAGTAGAAAAGACAAGACCGTTTGGAGAAGGTTAGCCCACGTCTCTGCATTCTGTGGCAAGGTGGCAGGACATTTGAGAGGAAGCGAAGCTCAAAAGGGGAGCTTCTGCTGGGGAATCCCAAAGCCCTACCCACCATCTGTACCACAGTTTTGCTTTCTTTTGCTTTGGCATAAGAAGGTCAAGGCTAAGAACTTTTATTTTTAGCACTGTGGGTTTAGAAAATTCACCAGAGATCAAGATGGACCATGCATTTGATGTCTACTCACGGGTAAGTCTTCTAAAGAAAACACAGCATTTTAAGTGTGTCTGAAAAAGCCTGGGACAAGGGTGAAGGCTGGGTGGGGTGGCATTTTCATCAGACCCAAAGGGCAGTGCACTGAAGGAATACCCAACTAGCATACAGACTCAAATGTTAAATTCTCTTTCCGGAGGTGATGGGGGGAATGGGGGTGATAAGGAACCTGCGGTCTCCGGGAAAGTGAACAAAATGGAAGCCACTGCCTCGTGTCACCCATGTCCAGGGACGGTGCCCTAGACCCGGTTACACTGTTTGGGTCTGAATCCAGCCTCTGCTGTTTGCTTCCAGGACCCGGAGCCAAACACACCCAACCTGGGCCTGGATTTCTAGGACATGGTGCAAATGACAGAGCGCTCCTCGGAGGCTCCCACGAGCACTAAAGATGACATCACAGGGGAAGGTAAGTATTTCAGGGCCTGGCTCCATCCCTGCTCCGGAATTTTTCAAAGATTAAAAATAACCGGCCATCGAGAAAGCTGTATTTGGAAGGGGGTGGAAAGGTAAAGTAGACAAGGAAACTCGACGGAGTAGTTCTTCAGTTTTGGAGAGTTAGGAAGGCACTGACCAAAAGCCCGAAATTCTTTGTCGTAGGTCACGTAGCTCAGCTCACAGCCCTCAGGAAGGAAATCTCCCCAAGTCTTTACATTTCCATTTCTGGATAATAAAGCAGTTACACGAGAGGAAAGGAGTGGAGAGGGCTTCTGGGCTTCAGCCAAAGCCCGTTCCACTTACATTTTCATCCTGCTCCTCATCGCTGTCGAAGTCACTCACTACAGGCTTGGCTTTTCCCCGATTCGGCCTTTTCTTGCCTTTGCCTTTGTCCCGGCCTTTCTCGTCTTTTTTATTGAGCTTGATTTTCACCTTAACAGATTTTGCTACAACAAAAAACAAAGCAGCAGTGAGGAATCGCAGGGAAGTCCTTCCCCAGGGAGTGAAAAGATTGCCAGGCTGCAGATGACAAAACCAAAGGTCCCTGGAGTGCCCAGAACGTTGTCGGTTTATGCCTGTTCTCCATCGTCCTGTTAGCACCCGCTTTCACTCACAAACACATCTTGGTTAGGAGGATACACTACATTGTTACCCCAAACAGGCTACCTGAGGGGATGAGATCCCCCAGAAGGCAGCAGGCTGGGTTCTTTCTGCAGTTGCTTAATGGTTGGACGGGGATCTTCCTAATAAACAGGAGAATCAGAGCTGCCTTTCTTACTCGTGGAGGGTTGTGGGTGTTTATTCAACAGAATTTCGTCAGGACAAAGTACATGTAAGTTTTTTTTTTTTTTTTTTTTAAAGGCCAATGATACTGTGTAGATAACCCCAGTTGACTTAAAAAGAAAATTCAGAGTTGAATAGTACTAACAGCACAGAAAGGTACAAAATGGAAATGAGGTGATTGTGAACATTTTCTTTCCCTCATCTCTAGTATTTCCTGATTGTTCTTCCTGGTGATGATTTCCAGAAGCAATTTATGGTTTATAATTATGTAATTAGAGAACAAAGAATTCAAGCACGTGTATACAGTCATTCACTTGCTTTATGCATGCCCCAATTTGACACCTCATCTTTATTCTCACCTATGGGGGACATTTCTATCTGTTAATATCTACCTGCCTAATTCTTTGCAAGGCCTGAAAATGTTCTACCTCAAGGGTCCACTACGAATGATTTAACCAGTCATCTCGGGATGGGTGCTGAAATTCCCAGTTTTTTTTTGTTTTGTTTTTTTTTTTTTTTTGGCCAGTGTAATAAGCAAAGCTGCTGTAAGCCTCTCTGTTGACAGATTGGCAGAATTTGGGGGCAGTATGGTGAATATGTCCGCATGGTAAATTTCTAAGCCTTCTTTTAAATTAGCCTTCAGAAAGACAGCACCGCTTATCCACCTTCAGAGGGCTATTCTGAGGAAAGGAATAAAAACACATGGGAGAGTTCATTGTGCAAGGTCACTGAGGTAGGCCTGTAACCCGATGTCCAAGGAAAATCTGTTCTGGGATAGGTGTCCACAGCATACCATTTTTAGGACTTGATGAGGAAGTCACCGAGGACATGGGGCTCTCATTTAAACCAGTCATACTGGAATTTCACGTTGGGTGGCAAGGCACCCAGCAATAGACACTGGCCTGGAGGGAATTACAGCTCCACAAGGAAGCTTGGAGAGGAGAGTTTCTCAGACTTTTGTGAAATGGGGGGGACCCACCACAGTGTTTACAAAAATGCAGTCTTCTGTGGAGGCCGGCTGACAACACACTTGAGGTCAGAGATGTTCTGAACCATAGTGCCACCTTACACCCTCTGCCCCTCCCGAATGCGGCAGAGACGGGCAAATCCGAGTACTCGGAACAGTACTTCTGGTCTGGCTTCCGGCCCTTGTACCCAAATGTCTGCTGCTTGGCTGGAGTAATTCGGGAAAGGAAGAAAAGATGGGGGAAGAAAAGGTCGATCCATTCACAGAAATGCATAAAGATATAAAGGCCTCTAAAAAAAAAAAAAAGTCTTGATAAAAAAAGAAAAATATCTATCCATACAGGTGGAGCACTTCCTGACATCTGGAATACAGAAAAATCCATGCAAGGTGTAAAAGGGCAGAAGACTGGCAGCAAAGGTAGAAAACATCTCTCCCAGTAGATCATTTAACTCCACCTTGGAGGGTGGGATGCTCTAAAACTAGCAGGCTCTGTGTGTCCGTGGACATGGACCTCCAAATAACCCACCCAACAGGCTGCCAGGCCTAATTTGGTTGAAACACTGGACCAGCACAGGGGCACTATAAAGAGCATCCTAAGGCTTTATGATCCCACCCTTATGGACCCATAAAAAAGGGCTTATTATCAAGGGTGGCAGGCAGAAGAATGGCCCCTTAGAGATGTCTGTGTCCTAATCCCCCAATTGTGACATTACATGGACAAAGGGATGAAGGTTGCTGATCAGCTGACTTCTGAGGCCTTAAGAAAGGAAGAAGAGGTCCTGGTTCAAGATGGGAACAAAGGAACATTCTGAACTCACTTCCCAAGGACACACCCAATCTACAGCTATATGTAGAACAATTTCCTCAGGAAAGAAACCCAAAAATGAACTGAGTGACTCCTACACAGCAGGTAAATAAGGAAAACCCCTTAAACAGGTAGAGGAGGCTGAGACACACTCTCACCGTAAACCCCACCCCTGGGGTGGTGACCCAACATCAGGAGGGAACTCAAAACCTGGAGACTCTCCCCAAGGAGTGAAGGTGTTGAACCTCAACATTGGGCACCCCAACTTTTAAGAGAGGAGTCTAAAACCTTTAACTTTGGAAACCAATGGGTTTCACATGCAAGAACCCCACAAGGCTTCAGCGAGTGAAGAAATAGGTCTCTTGCCCCAGGACCCAGGACCGAGGCAAGGACCAAGCAGGACCCAGACTTTAGGTGGAGAGAGGCTTTGTTTTGTTAAAATATCACCCCGAGGGGCAGGTACCAAATTTGGCACATGTCTCTCTAGAGACGGAGGCATCTTTGCACTTTCCCTCTACCTCACACCAGTTTACCTCCCGGAAAGGAGCTTGTACCCTCCTCTGGTACCCCGATTTTAGCAGCTACCACCCCCTCAGGGCACAGCAAAAGAGTCCAAGAACCCCAGTCTTTTGGTAGAAGAGACCCATCAGCTTATCTTCACAGTTACGGTCATCTATCTAAGGTCAGACAGTAACCCTTTCACGCAACCTTGCAAGGTGGGTGTTATATTTGAGCTCTTCCTCTGCCACACGCCAGAGAGCCAGTGTCTCCCAAAGGGCAGTATTTACACACATTTAACACCCTGGGTGCTAAACGCTGCTGGGACCATCACAAAGGTGAGAGAGACAACCAAGAGTGAGGGCTGGGGTGAAGAAGTTTCATCTCCACCCAGAGGCTACTACTCCAAGAGTCAGCGAAGTGGAGGTTTAAAACTAAGGCTTTGAGGGGCGCCTGGGTGGCTCAGATGGTTAAGCGTCTGCCTTCGGCTCAGGTCATGATCCCAGGGTCCTGGGATCGAGTCCCACATCGGGCTCCCTGCTCCTTGGGAGCCTGCTTCTCCCTCTGCCTCTGTCTCTCATGAATAAATAAAATCTTTAAAAAAAAACAAAACAAAACACTAAGGCTTTGAAACCAACGCAGAGTCAAAGACGACAGAGAAACAGGAATGTGTTCCAGATGAAAGAGGAAGATAAAACCTTAGGGACACCCCTGACTTCCATTTTCTTAGGAACTTTTTCAGAAGAGGAATTGAAAATGGTGGCCCTAAAAGTGCTCACTGAACTGGGCAGGAGGATGGACGAAGATAGAACTTCCACAAAGAGGCAGAGAGTAGTAACCAGTAGCCGTAAAAGTCGACCGAGCTGGAAGCTCCACAGAAGACACACCGAAACCCAACCGGAGGGCGGGGAAAGTACACCAGAAACCCACTAGGAGCAGCAGCACAGTTTCTAGCAGAAACTTTCTACACCAGAAGGGAGTGGCAGGTACATAGAGAGTGCTGGGGGGGGGGGGGGGGTGGGGAACAAAGGGGCAAATTAAGAACACTCAACCTGGCAATTTTGTTACTCAGAACTGGAGAGAAAAATGTTTTCCAGACAAGCAACAGCTAAAGTTCATCAACACCAAACAGGCCTTATAAGCAGTGTTACAGGGACGTTTCCCGCTAAAATCAGAAGTGCAAATAATAAGTCAACCAGCAAATATATAGTGAAGGTGGGGGGGGAGATTAAAAATATAGAGCTTTTAGAGTATGTTACAACTTAAGTTGTTATCAACACAAAGCGAAAGCCTACAGTAAATAAAAGATCAAAAGAAATAAGGCTACCTCTAAACGGAGTCATGTAGCCACACATGAAGAGAACAAAGGTGCAGAAGGAACCATAAAAACTCCAGAAAGCAATTAACAAAATGGCAATGAGCACATAGCTATCACTAGTTAATTTAAATATAAAGAGGCCAATCAAAAGCCGGGTTGACTGAATGGATTAAAAAACAAACAAAAAAAAACAAGACCTAACTCTCTGCTGCCTACTAGAGCCGTCCTCCAGGACTACACCCACACCGACCGGAAGGGAAGGGATGGAAAAACGAAATACTCCAAGCAAATCAAAACCTGGAGCAGCAACAGTTAGATCAAACAGACTTTAAAACGAAGACTGTATTAAGAGAGAAAGGCATTACATGATGATAAAAAAGGTCAATCCAAGAAGATACAACATTCATAAATACTTATGCACCCAACATGGGAAGTCCTAAATACATGAAGCAAGTATTAAAGGAAGGAAAGGACAGTAAAACGAGAAAAGTAGGGGACCTTATTCCCGTGCTCACATCGGTTAATGACATTAAATGACACGAGATCACGTAAAGGTAACACATGTTTAGAGAACATTCATTCCATCCAAACATGGGAGAAGACAGCTTCTTCCCAAGGGCACATGCAACATTGTCCAGGGCTGAGAACATGTTGGGCCACAGAACAGTTCTCAAAACATCTAAAAGAATGAAATCATGGAAAGCACCTTTTATTTTTGACTACAACAGTATTAAAACTAGGAATCACAAGAAGGAAACCGGAGAAAACACAAAGATGTGGTTACTAAATATTCTAAACAACCCATGAGTCAACAAAGAAATCAAAAAGGAAATAATCTCTTGCACAAATGCAAACGGAAATGCAAGGTTTCAAAAATCTGTGGTTGCAACACCAGCAGTTCTAAGACAGAAGTTCATAGCAGTACAAGCCTACCTCTAGGAACAAGAAAAATTCCACATAAACAATTAAACAGCTAGAAAAAGATAGCCCAAAGTTAGTGGAAGAAAGGAAGTAAGTCAGAGAGGAAATTGTGACTAAAAAAATAGAATGCCGGGCGCCTGGGTGGCTCAGTCGG